TTATGTAATTAGCCACATTTTCCTAAATATATGAAAACAGTACATAGAGCATATATTTCATTATATGTCGGTAAGTATAAAGAGGAACATTTTCCTACTTATATACTGATAAGAATTGACACAAATAGCTACTGTACATATTAAATAGTTTTATCATCAAGAATACTTCTTCTATCAGACATTAAATTTATTTATAAACTTAACAAATGTAAATGTTTAGTTTCAATGTACAATCTATTATTGGAGTAAGAGCATATTGTTATAAGTGACTGTTTCAGAACAAAGGCTAAAAATATTCAATTTAAAACTGATTAATGTTTCAAATCTTTAACAAAATTCTAATATTCATCTTCTATACAGCCAGTTGTTTATGATAAACAATAATAAATTGCAATCCTTTTTGCAAGTAAGCAATGATAAGCCAACACAATAGAAATTTGAAATAAGTCATTTCAGTTATTGTATTCTTTTGTTTACATTGCATAAATAATAATCAGAAAAACTGCTTATGGCATAATATACCAGTAATGAAAATAATCTGATTTGTTTTCAATTATCAGATTGAAATCTGACTACTGAAAATGTTTTTATTTTTATGAATAATATATTTAGTCTATTATATTTATGAAACTTGAATCATTTAGTAGATGTTACTAAATAAATCAAGTTTTAATGAATTTCAATGACTAATAGAATGATAAACTTGCACAAAATTGCAAAAAAATTTAACATGTCATGAACTAAATACTCAAAAAAATTCATATTTCTTTTTAAAGCAATTTTCTAACAATAACAGAAATTAAAACATCTTTAGTAATACAACTCACTGTCAATTAATTCTAGAAAACTTTGAGATAATCAGTGACAGAATCAAGCATGGAATCCAAAGAACACTTTGTTAAAAGAACTCCTTGTATTTAAAACTGTTCTTGTTTGTTAAATGTCTTTTTTATATGCAAGCTTCGTAAGTTTAGCTATTTTTGTGTTATATTCAAAATAGCTGTAATAATAATAATAATAATAATAATTTTAAATCATCATCAAATCTTTCTAATCCTTTCTATTTTTTTTGATAAATGAAAATCTATCAATATTGTTTTCATTCTTATAAATATTTCTGATGTAAACATTAAATATATATCTTTGGAATGTAATTTCAAATGTTTTTTACACTAAGGTAAACAATATTTGATATTTTTTATAAGATTTGATTTTCGAATCATTTGTGTGAACAACAATGTAATAAGGATGTTATTGTGCTGTTTAATATAAAATACTTTTATGGTAAATAAAATAAATATAAAAATGGAACAACTTATAAAGCATCAGCCGATCACTCTGATTAATTCAGGCAGACAACTTTCCATAAATCTTTTACCAGCAATCTATCTTGATGTACCAGGCCATCCCCATTGTGAGCCTGGTCAAACCTGTGACAGGTATGGAAAAAGTCCTCTTAGTGCCCAGTGCTGCATTACAGCTTCATGGGCACCCAAGCAAATTTGAATTAGGGGCCCACATGCAGTGTTGACTTCAGATATTTTTATTTGAGGAAATTTTTGGGGGGAAATATTTTCTTATACAAGATTGGTTTGGAGTCTCTGTTGGTAAAGGCTCCAGGTAATTAGCCATGAATAATACTTTTATGCCACTGTCAGATAGATTCAAAAATGAAAAGAAAATATATATATACTAGTGGCAAACTTGGTAAGATTTTATCTCTGTGACTGGCATCCTAGTATGATTTTAAACCTCCCTTCTACAAAAAAAAGTAGCTAAAAGAAACCGTAGATCCAAACATTGGCGCACCAGGGAGTCAAGGGGCCCTGGCACCCTCCAAAGAAAAAGGAAAACAAACAGTAGAAAATTTTACAAAAGTCTTTTCCTAATTAAAATTTAATTTTTTTTTTCATTTATATTCTGTGGTGTCTTCTATTTCTATACTGCTTATGAATTAGCAGTGACATTAAGGTGGGGATTTTATTGAATTTACATTAAGAAATTTTTTATCCGTTCACCTCGTCTCCCCGAGAGTGCACCAATGGATCCAAAAGTATCTCTTAAAGATATTTTGGACCCAAAACTTGATAAATAATTCTTAAACTTAATGAAAATTTGAGGGCAAAAATCAGAAGTAATTACATCTTTAAACAGTTTTCTTGTAGACCCTTTTCATGTTTTTTGTCAAGAGCTTAAAAAAAATCGAATGCACCTGTTTATAAAAACAATCCAGCAACGAGTTGCGTAACTTTCCCGGCAACATTTAAAATTACACGTGGCACCACTGTTATGATATTTTATTTTAAAAACTTTTTATATAATTAATTATTATATAAAAAGTTTTTAATTTAAACGATACACCTCTCTTAATGCAACGTTTTATTATCTCCCTCACGTTGGAGCCCATCTTTTTAGCGAGGTTGCGGCCGAAGTTTTCAACGCTAAAACGTGTACGTCGGACGTTCAGCGCCACCTTCCTGTAAGCTTAGAAGTTTGACAATGGCGTTTGAAACGTCACCAACCACGCTAATACTGTCTGGTGTCTGTCCCCTTTACGTTCTTATCAAGAAACGAGAAGAAGAGCTAATGCTATTTTGAAACAGGAAGATAAAATCATGATAACTAAAAGGGCACCATTTGTAGTAATTCAAACACAAATTATTATTGTATTTATTTTCAGGCACTTGGCAATTTTTATCATCAAATTTTATTTAGTTGACAACTAAATAAACTACTAGCACGGTTTCAAAGTACCAGGACACCATTTATCAAAGGTCGATAAATCTTAAATAATAGGGAAGAAAGTTCAGAGTATACGAAAAATTCGAATTATAAATGCCACATAATATTATAAAGAAAAATAAATAATTAATAGTACTGTACTAAACACTGTTTTTTAATTATTGTATACATGCCATACACATATGATTGCAACATTTCACAAAAGTTTTATAAATATACAGTCGACCCCCCTATGACACTGTTGATTATTCCGTTTTATATGAATTCCATGTTGTACGAGTCACTTAGATTTTACAAATACGTGAGCCGTTCACAGCTCGGCACACGTATTTGTAAAATCTAAGTGACTCGTACAACATGGAATTCATATAAAACGGAATAATCAACAGTGTTATAGGGGGGTCGACTGTACAGTAATGTAACAAGAAACTTCAAGTAGAAGGGGAGAAAAATTTAACTGGATTTTTATTATAAAATTCATTTTTTTATAATACTTCGTAAGCATTATTAATTAAAAAGTAGATTAGCATCATCTGTTTTTTCATTATTTTGAAATTTGACAGATTTTCTTGTTTTTTTTTTGACATTTACTTTAGGTCACTAGGACTCTTGCCTCTCTCACTCTCCTTATTGCGTTACTGTATAAAAGCACAAGGATTATTTATTGCAGATTTCATAATTGAATAATTGCAACACAAGTTGTAACACATCTTTTAACTTTGCAATCTGATATATGATACATTTCACAAGTAACTGCAATAAGGGAAATGAAACGATAGACTTGTTTTTTTCATGAGTAATTGCTTAATTTTAATCAAAATATTGACAATAATACGATATCAGCGTCACAAGCTATAAAATATGGGCATCAAAATCAGGTTAATCAAATACAATGGTAATACACGTTAATCAAATCAAATACAGAACAAGTTTTCGGTTAATAACGAATAACGAGTATTTTTGGACCTACTATAAATTGTAGACCTACAAATTCCGTCTGTCTGTCCTTATTTAATATCGAGAATGAAGTTAGATAGATGGAAGAAGTGATCAGATACCGAAACCTTATGGGCAGGAGCAGTGCCGGCCCGAGGCAAGTTTTAGAATGGAGCGAGATCCTATTATGGCGCCCACCTTGATTGCCCCTAATTTATACCCTTTAATTTTCTTTACCACTGAGGCGCCCCCTAGGACTTAGCGCCTGGAGCGGCTGCTCCGTTCGCCGTATGGTAGGGCCGGCTCTGGGCAGGAGGCCCAGATTAACTATACTGTTAACAGGTAAAGTATGATGTACAGGGGCAAGCCACTACTAATCTGAAGTGGACAGCATATATTTTAAGTTAAATAAATTAAAAATTAAAGCACGGTATTGTGTATGTATGTATCGTACGTACAGGATGGGGCCTAAAAGTGATTTGGAACCATTTATCCTTTAATTACGTGTACAGTATACAATAATGTGCTTTTCGAGGTCCCCTTGCTTCATAAATTGACCCGAAATACATTTTTTTTTATGATTGTTTTAATAACAATTAAAATCAGTACTATGAAGTCTATAACTTCATTTGAATCTATAACACTCCACCAAATAATTATACGTGTAAAAATGTGAGGCCCAACTCACATTTTTACATTATTTGGTGGAGGAGTGGACTCTCTGGATGCTTATCCATTGTGAGTCCACGTAATACAGGTTGGCGATCACTAGCCTAATTAATTAAAACACTAGATACGAGCCTTTATTAATTTACAAGTCAATTTTCGTTGAAATTCTATGTAAGATCTGAACAAAGGCAAAAATATAACGTGCGTATCAGCATCCGTACTTTCCTGTATCTTCTCCACCGCTGATATTTGCATTATATAACTTATGGTATGACAATCGCTAATTGTCATACCATAAGTTACATAATGCATAAACTCATACATGCTTCAATCTCTTTTAAGTATGGCGGAATGCTCGATACAATGCGTGCATCAGTCTATCGCTCGAGAAATCTAAGTCAAATTTCCGGTTATAAAAGTATGATCCGCGGCCACCGATGGCCCCCAGTCTGATCTAATCATTTTTCCAAAATGTAATTCTATGTCTATCCACAGGAAAATACATATTCACTCATTGCATATTTGCAAGACATGGGAGTGGAAGGAGCAAGGTTACGGTAAGTGGTCCTGCGAATCACCTAGTGTACAGGTGAACATCGAGTGTACGGGACCTATATATAATTTTAAAAGAAATATATATATATATAACTTACCAAAAGTAAAGAAACCACTAACGATAGGTCTTTCCATTTCAAAAATACATATCTTCAATCCCGTCTTTTTCGATTGATATTTTGTCACGGGAATCTCCCCTTCATATTTTAATTGGTATAAAATCTGATAATCGTCGTTAACTTCGGACATTTTGCCGTCAGAATTCAATTAAGTATTCGTCTCAAGATTAGTCGTAAGTTATAACGATCGGAGAATAATCGAGTAATCGATTAGACAGAGCGCAGATTACAACCTTCGGCAGCTTATATACTAATGTCTGTCTGGCTTTCCGATAAGTGTTTATATCAACTGGTTGACTCATCAATGACGTTTTCTTCTGGTCGTAACCGTTATACTGTTTTCGTATTTACGTAACAAAAACAAAAGTTACGTCAAATCAATTACTAAAGATGCATGTAACTGCATTTTTCTCTTGTTCCTGATACAAGAAATGGAAAGCTAATTGAGTTTTAATATATAACCCTCATTTTTTATAACAGAAAAGGTTATATAGTGTTTAAACACATCCTAAACGCATTTAATTAATAGTTATTTCCATGTTGCATGGTATGTAATGTTTGTATTTATTAAATCTATAGAACTTTCACCTAAATGCTCGAGTTATATGAGTAATAACACGTGTTGCTACTCGCGTAACTGGAGATTTGTCATCTGGACGTATTGTACTTTGTTACGTCGAAGTACAAAGATAACATCTAACAAGTTCACGTGATATATATATAGGGAGAGTAACAAATGAAACGGTCCCTTACCATATATCACTCCTTAATATAATCGTTTAATTAATTAATATTACATTAGTAAATTTAAATGATTATATTAGCGAGGTTGCGGCCGCAGTTTTCATCTTTAAAACGTGAACGTCGAACGTCAAGCGCCGCTTTCAAGATAGCGGCGCTTGACGTTCGACGTTTACGTTTTAAAGATGAAAACTTCGGCCGCAACCTCTCTATTATAACATTTTTTTATATCAAAATGTATTCATTCCGTCGTCTTTATTTTTATTTCTGTAAACTCTCCACCCAGTGGGCAGTATCGAGGATCTTTTTCCATACCCGTCATGAGTTCGACCAGGCCCACAATGGGGCGTTCGGATAATGAGATCGACCTTGAAAAATTCCTAAAGTCGTGAAGCCAATTTAGAGGGTTTCCTCCCTAAATTTAGGATGGAAATTAGCAGGTTGGACGGAGGGAAATTTAGGGGAATAAATAAAAGCAAATAAAGCAAGCTCGTATTTGTTAGTGTTGTTTCAGCGACGAATGGGAGCTTCTAAAAGTCATACGGCTTTTAGAAGTTTCTATTCTTTTTGTTCAACTATGCCTGCGCCCTTTTAGTAAAGATTTATATTTCTCTGGATTGTCAAAAGACTAATATTTTTAAAAATTTTTTCATATACAGTACATTGCATATGGAAAAAATACAGCAACGAGTTGCTTAACTTTCCCGGCAACGATTAGTGGTGCTAACTGTTACGATATTTTATTAACGAACAAAAGACTGACAAAAGCAGACCATGTAAGTCCAGCATAACCCAGAAGACCTCAATACGGTACTCTCTTCAAAACAGACAATGGGAAACACATAAACCATAGCTGGAAAAATTAACGAAAAAAAAAAAAGTCATTATCCTTGGTTTATTATTTTAAAAAATTATTCATTTATAAGTAATCTAAAAATTCGACTTATTTTCATTTTTAATTCATACAAATTACGAATAAAGCATCGGTCATTTGTAACTGCGAATCGAATCCCGCCATTGGCACTGTTCGTCATAGCGTCATAAGTTAGAACTACTGTAATGTTCGCTCGCGGGGGGGGCTAGACGCTTGTCCCCGCAACGGAGCGTAGCTTTTGCCCAATTAGAAAGCAAAATTAAAACATGAAAATATTTTAATTTTACCCATTTATTATTTCTCGATTCTTGATTATAAATTTTCAAAATTATTATTATTTTTTTTTAAAAAAAGACATCGATAAACGACAAATATATTTATTTTATGGCGTCATCAATGACGCCGTTGTTTTTCTGTGACGTCACACTCGAAATTTATAATGGAGTATGACATATGAAAGCTTTTGTCTAGTTCAAGATGTTTTCTAAATCGTACGTAATCAAGCTGTCATATATAACTGATTGATCATATGATATGGCAGGAAATTTTTGGCAAAGTTCTCATTAGTAAGTTTCAGAATTCATCTTAAACTTTTAAATTTCTGCTTTGTGACGTAACTATTACGTCTGTATAGATGAACACAATAGTACAGGAAATCCTCGTTAGTTCGAAATTCAATGTAATTGATGTAATTTATAAGGGCTGTTTACCACGTGCTGTTTACCTTCCCATTTAATATAAATATGAAGGTAAACCACGTGTCTGGTGAGAACCTGAGTTCACCAGATAGCTTTTATAAAAAGTAATGCACAATTTCTCGAAATTTAGCCAAAATTATTTTAAAAGTGGCCCAAAATGTAGTAGCCTACAAATATATCAATCTGCTACTCGTAACCAAATCTTGCAATCCCCAAACCCGGCTGTATTTTATGAGATGAGAGGGAGAAAAAAGGGTTGTCTGTGTTAAGGCGACACCCAAAAATGTATTAATGTAAAAGCAAAGCCTTATTGACCAGATTAGTTCTTCTCGGTCTATTGTTCTCTTATAGTATGGATCAATGGCTGCGTTCGGCAGACTCTACAGTTCCAGAGCTGTTGAGTATTTTTCTGCTGAACGCCTTCTATAGTAGTGCTTTTTCGGAACATGTTTGGTATTTTGATGTCACATTTGGTAGCGTCTTTCATTTACGCTACTTATCGCTACCTGAAACTGACCAATGAGGCTTTTTGTTCCAATGCAACATCACTTGTCATTTGGCAGATCCAGATTGCTATGTAACAGCTACCGATTTGCTCAGTTACAATTGTTGAGTCTGCCAAACGCAGCCAATGTTTCCCAAAGTGGTTCCTATGGGACTCTGGGGAGGGGTCCTTGAAACTGCTAATGGGATCTGTGACAAATTAAAATTAATTTGGGGTGGGTGGATGACATTGGGGTCCACGAAAGGTTCGGTAAAAAGTAAAATGATTGTGACCCATTTTAATTATTATGAAAGTTAAAAATAAATAGAAATAAATAAATTGGTAGTCTTTTTTACGTCCTGAGTAAAGTATAAGTATAGATAAGTACAGTACATAAAATACAAGTAATGACAAGCATTGAATGGTGAGAATACTAGCTAAAGCTTGCCCATTTTGGAAAAGGGCTCTGTGCTTCATTTATTGTATACCAGTACATTATGACATTTTAGAATTTTTTTTGTTTGTTTATAGAATTTACGCATTTAATTTTTCTTTCCAAAACTGATAATTATTGGCTGTTTTTCATAATTATAAAAACTATTTAATGACTAAAAATATATAAATAATTTATTTATTTTGATCAAAAATGTTTTTCTATGAAAATTTAATAGATAAAATTTTTACTAAAGTATACCCGTTTTTCAAAAATTAGCCAGCTTTAGCTAGTAATTTTAATAAATATTACTTTAAATATCAAAATTCTTTATTTATATTTTATTTTTATATCACCATTCACTATTCAAGACATCAAAGTTAAATTTGTAATTCTGCTATTATGTAGTTCTGTAGAGTTATTTCACTTGGGGGTTCATGGTCAGATTTTTTTCTACGAGAAGGGCATAATAAGTTTGGGAACCATTGATCTAAATGAACAAGTTAACATATGCATATGATGGTTGGACAAAATTTTCGCTTTGAAATTTTTGAAGTAGCCATATTTCGAACTAATCGAATACCTTAAGGGTCCATTTACACACAACAGTGACGTGACCATGCAGCGTCTGCTCAATGCAGTGATTTTTTGCCGGTGGGAAATCTTTGACCTACCCTGTCCAGACTCGTCCGTTCACAGTGCCGTGCAGTGGCATTGGCGTGACCGTATCGTGAAAGTAAATTTTGTTTTCCAATGGATGACGAACATTTAATTGAAATGGTGTGTTAACACCCTATTCTATTTGATTTATCTCATTCGAAATACATAGACATTGGGTACAAAATGAATATTTCTCTGTTTTGTTTAATAAAATATGAAATGCATGTTGGGACATTTGAAAATATTGAAAAAATATAGATTCGTCATCTGTTAATTTTTTATAAAGAATACGAAACTCCCATTCTGTTGATCTTTTTTGTCCATGCTTGATGTACCCACTTGCGGCACTTTCTTGATTGCATTTCTTTTTCTTTGTCCAAACATATAGCTATCATAGCCAATTTGTCCTCAGAAAAGTTCATGACCACTCACCGAGAGCACGGTCATGTCATTGTTGTGTGTAAATACTCATTACTGTGCTGTGCTGGATGTCACTGTCATGAAATGGTCACTGTGCCGGCATGTCACTGTTCTGTGTAAATGGACCTTAACTTGTAAATCTCTGTATCCCCGGCCGGGACAAAAGTAGTTACAAACTAATGGGATTTTGAACTATCCAAGTTTGAATTAATGGGGATTTCCCGTATTAACAATATGAGGGTTTGCAAACTGTTAAAATTGATAAATCAGCATCTTTTGAGAAATTGCATTGTTATCCATGTCTGTGTTATTTGCAAAAAAAATACTTAGCATCTTTTACTTCCCCGGCTGTTATATAACAGGGAAAGTATGGCAATCAGTCAAAAAATGATCCCCAAAGATTTTTCATTTCTGGACTCGGGACTTTGGAATGTCCAGAAAGGCGAAAAATATCAAGGTTTTTAAATAACTAATAAATTCTTACTGGAACTAAAATGAAATATAAAATAATATAAATAACACCTTTTTAACGGTCCAGCAAAAACATTTAATTCTCTAATTTAAGGAATTAAATGTTTTTGCTGGATTGTTAAAAAGGTATTATTTATATTATTTTATATTGAAGTTTTTTTCTGTATATATGGATGTTAGTGTGTGGGGTGCATGTTTTTTTCATTTACTTAGAAGCTGAATAACTCCTGGGCCTTTTGTAAATATCTCTGAAATTTTGCAGGGATTTTGTTAAGGGAAATGTTTCTAGAAATTTTCAAGAAAATCAGACAATTGGTTTGGAAAATATTAAATGGGTTGGGCCATATCTCAAAAAGCTTTTTGAAGGTATTATTAGAATATTAGCAATGGTAGCAATTATTAGAGATGAAAACAAATACGGAATGCCAAGAAAGTCTAGCAACATTGTTGTTAGCTTTGTTTTTTGTATTTGAATGTTTGTTTGTGTGTTGCAGTAAAACTATAATAAACAAAAATGTACTTACTCGTGCCTCTAACCGGTGTGTAGAAATACAAAAATAAGTAATTTTGTAAAAACAAACGTTTTCCGAACACCTTCCGTGTCCTTCTTCAGGTAAAACGGTTGGATTCCTTATTCTCGAACACCATCACGCAAGATTTTAAAAAGAAAAATTTGAACAATGTTTCGATTGCGCGATATCTATTGCGCACGAATAAGTTATATTGAGCAGTAAAACTAATAACTTGAATTAAAAATCAGTCATCCAAGAGTAGCTTGTTGACTTAACAGGATGTTACTTATCATCATTTTATTACACTTTTATAATAAAACAAATAAGTTCATATTGTTGAAAATCCAAGTCAGAATAATTTCTGTAAACACATTCAGATTTTTACATTGGGATACAGTTCAAAAAACTATACATTTCTGGATCAAATTTATTTTTAATAGTTAACTTGAGGAAACTTTATCTCAAATGCAGTGCAGTAGATACATATTATACAATTAGTGATTTTTTTTTTAATAATTGATATACAGTATATGTTACAATCAGTAATTACATTAAGGCATTTGAAATAATTATAAGTCTAAATAGAAATTCTCCAACTTAACTACTGACCTCTTTATTGGAGTATCTAGGTCCTTTTAATTAATTCTCAAACATCCAAATGCTTCCTATTTAAGGTAGCTGAAAAGTATTTATTCCTCAGAAATGTTCAAAATACAGTAATCCTTCATTATATTGTGCATGTAGGGTGACAAACCAATTATCAGATGGTGCGATATAACTGGATCCATCCACTACTGGCTAAAGCACTTTTATATTTGGACAACAAAAAAAAAAAAATGACGTCATGGAATGAGCAATTTAATAATGTACGATTTAATGAGGTGCTACCATACTACGTCCAAATACATGAAAATATCTCTAATTTAGGGTTTTAAGACATTCCTATATTCTCCAATTAATTATTCACCTTTAAAAGAAAATCTGATTTTAAAGATTTTTTAAAAAACATTTCTTATTACTTTTTGTTTCTAATTTGTTAAATAATAAAACTTTCCCAAATATATAATTTGTAATCTGGTGNAATTAATTATTCACCTTTAAAAGAAAATCTGATTTTAAAGATTTTTTAAAAAACATTTCTTATTACTTTTTGTTAATATTTTGTTAAATAATAAAACTTTCCCAAATATATAATTTGTAATCTGGTGTCCTACAGACATCATTCTCAAATCAACTTATTATGATTTTAAGGGTATATAAAGTGAAAGATAAAGTCGGTAAAAACTACATTCATAAATTAAATTTAATTCTTATTACTTAAAATAATTATTGACGATTGTATTTCTTTTTTTAACAAAATATTGTGTATATATTTTGTTGGAATAAGAAACAAAATGCAGACTACTGTTTTAATAAATTATGATTTAACTCTAATGAGTACTCCTGTAAATATACATGATACACATGGTAAGATCTGCAAAGTAACCACATGTACAGTACATACACATTCAAGTTTGTCAATGTATAGATAGTATATTCATACATTTATGTGCAAACTTGAAACTGTACAGACAGCTAGCGACATTTATTGACAGGTCTAGAATATTTTTTTTTAAAGTTTTGTTAGATTTAGCGTAGAATTTTCTAGCTTACAGACAAACATGGCATCTAGTAGTAGTTCACACTCATCCTCAATTGTTAGTTATTCAACAGAATCAAAGTGGAAAAAGGAAATGCTGCCTAGTTTATTAAAAGAAAATATGAATTAGAAGATGATATTATCTTTTTTTGTAAATGTTACATTCCTTAAAAACTAACTTTGGGAAGAGAGGAAGCCATTGGGTAAGCCCACTCATCAAAGGGTTAAATTTACTTTTGCTCATTTTTTGGGTCTAGTGTTATTGCATGCTTAATAAATGATAGTGTAAATGTTTTTAGGCTTTTGTGTGTACTGGAAAATGAAAAAAAGCTGTGATTCACTATAAGGTGGAAGTTTAGAATCTAATCTATCATATTAGCAAGGTTGCCAGATACTTGAATAAAATGAGTTCTTCCCAAAAGATACCGGAACACTTCAATTCCAGGACGTGCAATAGATGAGTATTTTTACTCTGCCGGTGATAGAAATACATTTAAAATGTGGAATAAAATAGTTAGGAGTAGTTTTTAGAATGTCTTCCTGTTGCTAAATGGCAATCGGAAAAAATCTGGGATAATCCTGATAAATCGGACGTCTGAAACCCTAGGAAGGTATGCTTGTGCTGGTATACATAATGCATACTATATTTTCTGAAAGGATGGCCTTTATGATTATGATAATCTATATTCCATAAAGTATTATATATAAAATAAGGAATTATTTACAGCTTCTATGAATCTGTAATTTTTTTAATCTTTTAATAATACATTTTCATTTCTGTTTTAAATCATTATATTTTTGTTAAGTTTTTTATTAATATAATTAAAGAAATGTAATTTATGTATTACAGTCAACAATGGTTGCTAGACAGACAAGATTTACTTCGAGAACGCCATTCAGATCTACAGTTATTGACAGAAGAAGAATATCAGAGAGTCATGATATTCTTTGCAAATTGTAAGTGTAAAAATTTTTCACACTAATGATTTTTCAGAATGTCGAGCAAAGAACATGCATTAAATTTCGTTTTTGCAACAGAATTACTGCTACAAAAATGTTGGAAACGTTGCGAAAAGTCTTTTGTGAATGCCAGAAAAAAAGCTTTTTTATTTTTAATTTCTTCATAAAAGCATTTGACATTTTATGTTTTCTGTTAATTTAACAGTAGACTAAAGATCATGTCATTGTCTGTTTATTTTCATATAATTTAATACCACGTTATCTATACACGAATACTTCCGTGTAGAATGTATCATTGGATTAAGCTGCTTTTCTATTTGAATGTGGATTGTGCAAATTGAATGATTGTGAATGAAACAAATTTTTAATAATGAATTTGTTTGTTGAGAAGTCGGTGAAACCGATCATTTTTATTAATAATTTTTATATTTAAAATAAGAATGGCTTGTATTTCTCTAAAAAAATTGTATTAATTATGAATTTTTCAATATTCACGATATAAGATTTATAGTTGATATAACTAATTTGCCTCGGATATTACATCTGCAATGTAAGCTCTTGGGAATAACGGAACCTTTCTTGCAAAGTTTAAGAAAATCATTTATCACATTTTTAAAATTTAGCCTGGGTATAGATAATATAGAATTCACAGTTCAATGAAACAAATTAAATTAATTATTAGTAACAGATATTAGTTGCGTACTCTTAATATATTTCTTTAATTGCAAGAAGCATTGATGATTTAAAATTGATAGTGTTATAATAACTTTTTTTATCAGCTTACAATAGCAAAAATTTATAAATTTATTCATAGGACTATCTAAAACTTTTAATTGAAATGCTAAAATAAATGAGCAAAAATTATTGGGACATTGTCACAATGCCGGGTTGCAAATTTTAATCATATTTTTAATTTATTTAATTTAAAATGTATGCTCTGGATCTTAAAGTATTAATGTCTTGCCCCTGTACATCATACTTTTCCTGACAATAACAACAGTCATGCCAGTCATTTATGTAATTCTTCTGGGAAAAATTTTTGAATTGAAATTATGTCATTTCTGGTCCATACTGGAAGTTCGTATATAATTAATCGGGGCCTCCTGCTCCTAAGCTTTTCATATCTGGTCGCGACTTTCATCTATTCAACTCTGTTCTCAAGATTAAGTAAGGGTGGACGGACGGATGGACAACGGTGGGAATTTATAGGTTTACAATGTTTTCAAATTGCAGCCCAATGAATACAAAGTTACAAAATTTGATGGTGATAATGTTTGCAATGCAAAATTGTAGATTTAATAATACAGGGGTTAAAGAATTCATTCACTATTGAATATTTATGGGAATTACCCATTTTTAAGAATTTATTGGCATTTTATAAGGGTGTTGCTAATTAGGAGGCTACTAAAGAAAGGTTTGTTAGTTTTATTATTATATTAATTAAATTATTTTATTTTTAAAATGAAAATTTATGATATTTTACAATAAAAAAATTTTAATTTTAAGAAGAAAATACTATTAAAAAATAATAATAATAATAATAGCGAGGTTGAGGCTGAAGTTTTAAACGCAAAAACGTGTATGTCGGACGTTCAGCATCGCTTTCCTGTAAGTCTAGAAGTTTGACAATGGTGTTTGGATAGTCAGTGGAATCATGCTCGACATTCCAAACACCATTGTCAAACTTCTAGGCTTACAGGAAAGCAGCGCTGGATGTCTGACGTACACGTTTTCACGTTTAAAACTTCGGTCTCAACCTCACTATTAATGTATTATTTTTTTCTTTTAAATTCTAATTATTATTATATTACTAATATAAAAGCCATTGTCTGTATGTGTTTGAATTCTTTATAACTCCTGCAATTTTTGTCCAATCCAGATGAAATTTTGGTTATATTCTTTTTATATTCTAACAGAAAGTATAGGTTACTTATTTTATGGAAATATTAGCCTTAGACAAAAACATTTTATCGATTTGGGATCGGTGATTGCACTTACATTGCAGTGACATCCGTGACTTCATTAGTTCATGCTTGATGAGGGAAATTCCCTTAGGTTGCATTTTTAACTAGTTTGGCAAATAACATATTTTAAACTTACTTCATTAAATTTAAACTTTAAAAAAGGATAACCTCATATTGTCACTTCTATAACAAACTTTTTAAAAAGTTTTCATTAGTGATCACATGATGTTCTATTATTCAGTCGGAAGTAACAATCTATTGAGCTTGTTATTTAAAAGTGATATCATTCATGTAACTAATGTACTGTACATGCAATTCATTCATGTTTTATCAATGTGAAATTAAAAAGACTCACTATTTTGCCAAAACAAAAAAAAATGCTTAGGGAGAAGCACACGAGTAGAAGTGGTTATGTAAATTCTAGACCCGAAAGAATACAAACAACTGATATCCCTGAAGGACGTGAGGTCCATCTCTATTCTTCTCGATTCTTCCATCTCTACATTCTCATAAAAAGTATTCTGTCATGCTTCATAGAGGAATTTCTAGTTATTATGTAATTTAATATTTAATAAAAATTATCATTAGATATTTTAAAGAACATATCAATTATGAAATTTAATAAAAATTTAAATATTTTTTTGCTTTAGTTATTCAAGCATTAGGAGAACAACTTAAAGTAAAACAACAAGTTATAGCAACAGCTACAGTATATTTCAAGAGATTTTATTTAAGGTAAATATTTTAATAATTTAAAATTGTATATAATTTCAAGATTTATAAAAAGTTTTACATGTTTACTGAGCATTATCCATGCAACTCAATCACTAATTTTTGGTTTCTTAAATAATAATAATAATAAATCGAATCTTCAACACGAATAAATCATGGCACTATTATGTAAAGATACAAGTAGACTGCTAAATAAGGTAACCAAAAGGTTTATTAACGAAGAAACAATTTAGATTTATACTTAACTATCTTATACCGTAATAATGTTTTACTCTTCATGAAATATCCTTTTACACATACTAATAACAAAATAGTGTTATGTAAGGATTGTTTTTTGTAAGCATTATCCAAAAATATCAAACAAGAAGGTATAATATTTTAATTAAAATTGAGAAAAAATGTTATGATTAAAGTAGTAAATATTCATATATTTATGTTGAAAAATAGTCAATAATCTTTGACTGTGTTTTCTTTAAAACAAAAGTTATTTTGTATTCAACAAATTATTCTAACTTTATTTAAATAATAATAATAATAAATTTTATCCAGAACATTTTTGATGAAGGGAAGGCATTTGTTATAATTTTTGAATATATCAAAAATACCATTATTTGAAACTTTATCCTCGGATNTATTACTAATATAAAAGCCATTGTCTGTATGTGTTTGAATTCTTTATAACTCCTGCAATTTTTGTCCAATCCAGATGAAATTTTGGTTATATTCTTTTTATATTCTAACAGAAAGTATAGGTTACTTATTTTATGGAAATATTAGCCTTAGACAAAAACATTTTATCGATTTGGGATCGGTGATTGCACTTACATTGCAGTGACATCCGTGACTTCATTAGTTCATGCTTGATGAGGGAAATTCCCTTAGGTTGCATTTTTAACTAGTTTGGCAAATAACATATTTTAAACTTACTTCATTAAATTTAAACTTTAAAAAAGGATAACCTCATATTGTCACTTCTATAACAAACTTTTTAAAAAGTTTTCATTAGTGATCACATGATGTTCTATTATTCAGTCGGAAGTAACAATCTATTGAGCTTGTTATTTAAAAGTGATATCATTCATGTAACTAATGTACTGTACATGCAATTCATTCATGTTTTATCAATGTGAAATTAAAAAGACTCACTATTTTGCCAAAACAAAAAAAAATGCTTAGGGAGAAGCACACGAGTAGAAGTGGTTATGTAAATTCTAGACCCGAAAGAATACAAACAACTGATATCCCTGAAGGACGTGAGGTCCATCTCTATTCTTCTCGATTCTTCCATCTCTACATTCTCATAAAAAGTATTCTGTCATGCTTCATAGAGGAATTTCTAGTTATTATGTAATTTAATATTTAATAAAAATTATCATTAGATATTTTAAAGAACATATCAATTATGAAATTTAATAAAAATTTAAATATTTTTTTGCTTTAGTTATTCAAGCATTAGGAGAACAACTTAAAGTAAAACAACAAGTTATAGCAACAGCTACAGTATATTTCAAGAGATTTTATTTAAGGTAAATATTTTAATAATTTAAAATTGTATATAATTTCAAGATTTATAAAAAGTTTTACATGTTTACTGAGCATTATCCATGCAACTCAATCACTAATTTTTGGTTTCTTAAATAATAATAATAATAAATCGAATCTTCAACACGAATAAATCATGGCACTATTATGTAAAGATACAAGTAGACTGCTAAATAAGGTAACCAAAAGGTTTATTAACGAAGAAACAATTTAGATTTATACTTAACTATCTTATACCGTAATAATGTTTTACTCTTCATGAAATATCCTTTTACACATACTAATAACAAAATAGTGTTATGTAAGGATTGTTTTTTGTAAGCATTATCCAAAAATATCAAACAAGAAGGTATAATATTTTAATTAAAATTGAGAAAAAATGTTATGATTAAAGTAGTAAATATTCATATATTTATGTTGAAAAATAGTCAATAATCTTTGACTGTGTTTTCTTTAAAACAAAAGTTATTTTGTATTCAACAAATTATTCTAACTTTATTTAAATAATAATAATAATAAATTTTATCCAGAACATTTTTGATGAAGGGAAGGCATTTGTTATAATTTTTGAATATATCAAAAATACCATTATTTGAAACTTTATCCTCGGATATAGATATTTAGTCTTCATTATGAGTACAGTGTAGCTACGGGTATTAAACCTTGTGGCATAAGTAGTCGGTTAGCAGTTTTTTTATACCGATTTATCAATATAAAAAATGTGATACCTCGTTACTCGGTTGCCTTAATTAGCATGTATAAATTAAGAATCTCTGCTATATTTAAGTTACATTTAATTTTAAGTTAAAAATTTAACGTTTATTTGCTAAGTATCTAAAATTTTTAGGAATTCTCTTAAATGCATCGATCCTTTATTAATGGCTCCTACCTGCATATTTCTTGCTTCAAAAGTTGAGGTAAAGTATACTAAATATGTAAATTTTGTTTCGATGAAATATATTTTTAAAAATTGATTACTCTGTTATTCATCATCGTCATTTTATTTTCATAGGAATTTGGGGTAATATCAAATAGCCGTCTTATTTCTACCTGTCAAACAGTGGGTAGGCTATCATTTCTTTTTATAACATTTATTAAAGTTTTAAAAATAATTGTATATTTTGATATATATATATATCAAAATATACA